TGTTCTGCATGGAGCACTGGGTGTTATGCACAAACAATGAATCATGGAACACTACATCTAAAACTAATGATGTAATGTATGGGGATTAACATAACAATAAAAAAATTAAAAAAAAAAAAGATCCAATATGTGCTGTGTATAAGAATGCCACTCACTTTAAGTAGAAAGAGAGAGCCAGAAAGTGGTGTATTATGCACACGGTACATCTTAGAAGACTGGAGAAGCTCTAACTCACTTCAGATACAACAGAATTGGACATAAAAGCTATCAGGAGAGATAAAGAGGGGAATTTCGTAACAATCAAATGGTCAATTCATTAGGAGGACATAACATAACCTAATAACAGGCCCTCAAACTATGAAGCAAAACTGATCATAGAAACAGACAATTGCACAATCATAACAGAAGATTTTAACACCTTGCAACACCTGATAAGACACAAAAAATCAGTAAAGACACGGAAGATGTGAACAACAATAGTATTAATTATGTAACCTAACTGGTTTTAGAGAACAAATTCACCCAACATTTTGGAGTACATATTCTTTTCAAGTGAATGTGGAACTTCACCAAGACAGACCATACATATACTGGGTCATGTTAGGAGTCTCAATCAAACTAAGAAGACTGAAATCATAAACACATTCTCTAACCTTGATGAAATTAAAGTACAAATCAGTACCAATAAGATATTTAGGAAACAAAACAGACATCTGCTAATTAGGCCATATGCTTCTAGATAATCAACCCCATGGGTCAAAGAATTCACAAGGAAATTAGAAAATATTTACAACTGAATGATAACGAAAATACAACATATTAAAAATTCTGAGATGAAGCCTAAGTAGTGCTTAAAGAAAAACGTGTAACTTTAAACACTTCTACTAGAAAAGTCTAAAATCATGACCTATGACCTATCTTGAGCTAAAGAAAAAAGAGCAAAGTAAATTCACACTAAGTAGAAGAAAGTTAACGATAAAGAGCAGAAATCAATGAAACTGAAAAAGTTGAGAAAAATTAACAAAGCCAGAAGCTGGTTCTTTGAAAATCATCTCAACAAAACTGACAAAGCCCTCGTGAGACTGACTGGGGAAAGTAGCAAAGAGAAACCACCAGTCCCAGGATGAAAAAGCAGTTACCACCACGGCTCCTAGAAGATGTTAAAAGAATAAGGAGGGACTCCTATGAACATCACGTATTCTGTATGTGATATGGATTATATATTGTGTTCTCACAATGAAGCTAGGGAAAACGTTATTAAAATCATGAGAGAAAATATATTGACAGTACTGTACTGATAAAAAAAATCCATGTATAAGTGGATCCGTGCTTTCCTGACCTGTGATGTTCAAGGGTCAACTGTGTAACTTACCTAAATGACACAAGATGAAACCAAAAATCTGAATAGCCCTGTATTTATTAAATTAAATCTGTTCTAAAAAACCATCCCACGAAGAACACTGCAGGCCCAGATGATTTCACACATTAATTCTATAAATACAATAATGAAAAAAGAGGAGGGTCAGAACTGGGTTATTAAAAAGTCAGCTTTACTACTGAACAGGAATAACGGCCAGGAATCAACATTCTGCAGGTTACAAACGCCAGACTGTGAAGAACTAGGAAAGCAGCTCCGAAGACATTCATTTCTTCTTCCCCTTCAAAGGCTTGGCAAACAGAGCCGGGTCGATGTGGTCCCTCGCCAGGCCCCTGATGGAGAAGAGCCTGGCCGCACGCTCCTGCAGGGTGCCCCCACATTTCAGTCCCAGGGCCGTGAGTTCACGCTTGAGCCTGTCCAGACCCAGCACCTCCAGTTCTGCCACGGAGCTGAAAGCCAGCAAATCCAGAGTTTGCTGACCAGTATCCTGAGGGGGGAAAGGAAAATATTAAAAACAGACTCCTCCCAATCATGAGGGGCGCCTGGGGGGCTCAGTTGGTGAGCGTCTGCCTTCTGCTCGGGTCATGATCCTGGGGTCCTGGGATTGAGCCCCGCGTCGGGCTCCCTGCTCGGCGGGTGAACCACACCCATTAAGCGCTCATGTGGGACATCCACCCCAATTCAGGCATTAAAATGTGATCAACCTGCAGCTTAGAACAGATAAAAACTATGGAGCCAAGGACGCCCCCTGGTGGCAAAACGATACCCATTCCAGAATTTAAAAGGAAAAAACCAAAGGACTTTTTGGGGGGCTGAGGCGAGTTTTGCCCTCATCCGTACTTCTGGTTACGAAACAAAGCTTCGCACTCAGCAGCCGATGGTGAAAAGCACGTTTCATGTTGAGGACTTACTGAGGAACTGTGGCCATCGAGCTGCCCTGGCTCTGAGTGTGGACCCCAAACTACTCACTGTGTTTCCTGATGGGCTTCCCTCCAGTCTGGTGGTGGGTGCGCTCCCCCCAGCCTCTCCAGGCGTGGCCTCGGCAGCTCTGTCCTCATAGGGCTCCGCCTCGGGCTCCTGGGCCGGTCCCATCCCCGCAGCCTCCTCTTCTGTGGGCTCTTCGCCCTCTGCCCCTCCCTCCTCCTCCTGGCCGTTCTCTGTTTCTGTGGCCACTGTCCTGTCCACACGGCACTGAGCAGAGATCTGCCCCGACTCGGCACACACGTCTGCAGAGACAGCGCACGCCGAGCCCGGCCCTGGGGCCAGCAGTGGCTCCAGGGACTGAGAGGCTGCACTGGCCATGGCCGCCCCCGGGCAGTGGCAGGGACACCCAGCTGCTGGCTCCACACCATCGAGGCCGTTGTCTGCAGCATGCGAGCTCATTCCTGAAGTACTAGGAGCTTCTTCCCAGTCATCATCCGAGGTCTCCGAGCTGGACTCCTCCGCTGTCTCCAGTCCTTCCATGCCCAACCTGCCGGGAGCAACGGAAAGGCTTAACACCACGCACGGCTTCTCTGCCGGACAGAGTTACCATTTGTCCAGAGAACAGCCTCTGTCAGAATCAAAGGATCTGCTCGCTTGAGATGGACAGTAGCTAAGTTTCAGAGGAAGATACTCAGAAGTATAAACAGGAGGGGAAAAAATTCAGTGAGCCTGAAACCAACCATCCCAAAATTCCAGAGGGAATCTTCTTTACAGTTGTGAATCTCTCTTTTTTGTTTTTAAGTATTTACTTATTTGAGAGAAAGCACAAGCAGAGGGAGGGGCAGAGGGAGAAGCAGGCTCCCCGCTGAGCAGGGAGCCCGACGCGGGACTCGATCCCAGTACCCTGAGATCATGACCTGAGCTGAGGCAGATGTTTAACCCACTGAGCCACCCAGGTGCCTCTAAATAGTTGTGAATATCGGGCGCCTGGGTGGCTCAGTTGGTTAAGCGACTGCCTTCGGCTCAGGTCATGATCCTGGAGTCCCTGGATCGAGTCCCGCATCGGGCTCCCTGCTCGGCAGGGAGTCTGCTTCTCCCTCTGACCCTCCCCCCTCTCATGTGCTTGCTCTCTCTCATTCTCTCTCTCTCAAATAAATAAATAAAATCTTTAAAAAAAAAAATAGTTGTGAATATCTTAAAACAAAATTGATTTTGCCTAAAGCTTTTTTTCCTATCTTGTTCAAGTCTCAACGGTTACAAATGTAGATAAAATAACAAAAAGTTAAAAGAAAATCCTATTTTTATTCATAATCGCCCCAAACTGAAAACTACCCAAACTCTCAACAGAACGGTAAAAACAGATGCAATGATACTTGGCAACAAAAAGGACAAGCCACTGATACACGTAATACCAGCCATAGATTTTATTTTATTTATTTATTTATTTTTAAAGATTTTATTTATTTATTTGAGAGAGAGAGAATGAGAGAGAGCAAGCACATGAGAGGGGGGAGGGTCAGAGGGAGAAGCAGACTCCCTGCCGAGCAGGGAGCCCGATGTGGGACTCGATCCTGGGACTCCAGGATCATGACCTGAGCCGAAGGCAGTCGCTTAACCAACTGAGCCACCCAGGCGCCCCAGCCATGGATTTTAAAAGCATTGTGCTAAGTGAGAGACTCCAGACACAGAGGGCTGCAGGACATTCTGGAAAAGACAGAACCATCGGAACAAACACCACACCAGCATCAGCGCTTGCCGGGGGTGGGGGGCAGGGGGACGGGAATTAACCACAAAGAAGCACATGGGCAATTTTTAGAGAAATGGAAATACTCCAAATCTTGGTTACATGACTGTATTCCTCAAAACTCATAGATCTAGTCAATAAACAAGTATGAATTCTCTTTAAAGACTATTAATTTGACAGAGAGCTAGAGAGAGAGCACAAGTAAGCAGAGCGACAGGCAGAGGGAGAGCGAGAGGGAGAAGCAGGCTCCCCGCTGAGCAGGGAGCCCAACGCGGGGCTGGATCCCAGGACCCCAGGATCACGACCTGAGCTGAAGGCGGACGCTTAATGACTGAGCCACCCAGGGACCCCAACAAGTATGAATTTTAGTGCATATAAACTGCATCCCAATAAACCTGATTCAACCCCCATCCCCCAGCACAATCCCACTACCTTTTCTCTCAAAAACACTCAATTCCTATTTCACAAAGAACACCCAAGATTCTCCGCTGGACTTGCACAGTTACACAATCTTTCATTAACAATTATCTTTCTAGCCCCAAAGCAGAGGCCAGCAAGGAAGCAAGATGCGTCTGGACATCATTTTCTAGAACTTGGCCCAAGGGAAGTGAGCTAGTGGCCGGCGGACTGAGTGGGCAGGGGGAGCGCCAAGCAGCAGCATGGATAAGACAAGGCACTGTCGTGCTTTTCAGCTGCAAGTACAAAAGTGGACCAAGGGAGCTCTGGCGGTGGCCACAAGACCTCAGTAACGACTGAAAACCCATAGAGAAAACAGAACAATTTGGAAAGTACAGCCATGGCTTCCAGCTAGAATTTCTGAAAGTTAACTCTTTCAGCACCAGTCAGTCATTCAAGTATAAAGGGATTCCTACTTGATCTTTCACTACGAAAAGCCGTCCCTTCACTTCCGTTGCCAGCACGCAGGACAGAAACCACGAGGAGCATGTACCGTGTGACGGCCGTGGACACCTGAGGACTGAAGCACTCTGGAAACGTCCATGCTCCCACCAAACCTTACTTTAAAAAGCATTTACGCCAGATAGGCAAGAGGAAATGTCGTCAGGCTGCACAGACCTCCCTGGGAGGACGATGAAGCGCACTTACCAAAAGCACTTCCTTTTCCCTGCACTGGCTCCTCGGTCCATTTTTGACTGGTGGTGTCTTTTCCGACTCTCACTGATTTCGGCCGAAACCATCTTGCTGGAGGCAGCCTGCATACCTAACCGGAAATGTTCCCAACTCAGTTACACTATCAGAAGTGAGTATAACTGGAAACGTTACCAACAGCATGGACAGCAAACACAGCCACATTGCAGTCTTAAGCTCGAGTTTGTTAACGTTCCAAAATTTAATATGGCTAAAATGGACTGGACTCAAGTTTACACAGGTTCAAAGTACTGAGCATTCAGGCTCTGGAACCAAAGGCCCATCTGTAGTCCTGAGCCTGATGGGTGCATCCCGGCCTCCCCAGACCTGACGGTCCATCCCCTGCTACTCACTGCTTGTACAGTGTTACGTGATAACCTTTTGATTGAAAAGATTCCTTTTTATTC